AGCTTAGAGTCTAATACTATCCCCTTTCTCCCACCCTCTCTATTTTCAGAAACATCATCCTTTGAATCTATAAGTGTGTTTTTAAAAAACAAAAAGCCAGTGAACTGAAAGGAATGATGTTCAGAAGCTGGAATGTAATGAGAGAGGTTAATGTGCAGAAATTGACTCCAAAGAAAGGCTTTTTCCTCCCAGGATACATTTATCTTTCATTTTGAGTGAACTTTTGTGAGAGTAGTGAATATGTACAGGTGCACCAAATACATCTCTGATTTGTACCAGCTGCCCCTCATACCATGCAAGACTGAATTACAGGGCTGCCAAGACAATCTCTGATACAACTGTCCTCCCATTTTTCCAAGTGAAAAATACCACATAGATTCTCTGACCCCTTTTCTAGTGATATCTATGCCTCAGTCAATTGTAGCGTGTTGGGTATCTTTTCTTGCATTTAGATTCTGACCTTTGAAGACATTTTTCATGGCCAGATCTTAGAGAATCAGAATCACTGAGAAGTAAGAGACCTCAATGGCCATCTAGTCCAACCCCTACACAAGTGGGATATCTACTACATCTCACCCTATGAGTGGTCATCTATTCTAAGTGTAAAAACCTCCAAGGATGGGGAACCTCTCACCTTTCTAGAAAGCCCATTCCATTTTTGGACAGCTCTAATTGTTGGAAAGTTTTGCAGACAGCAAATCTAAATTGCTTTCTTTACAACTTCAGCAACCCCATTGCTCTGGCTCACCCTCTGAGTCAAACAGAACAAACCTCATCTATAGCTATACACACTATAGCTCTTGAATATTTTAGCATATTTATTGGGTTCCCACTGAGTCCTTTCTTCTCCAGGCTAATCATGCCCAATTCCTCAACTGATAACTTGCATGGCATATACTCAAGGCTTTCATCTCCTGGTTACCTTCTTCCGAACCCTCTCCAGCTTTCAATGTCTACTTCAACTTTGGTGTCTTGTATGGTCATGCCTCTTCTATCTTACACTTATGGAATTGATGTTTTTGTACTCAGTTCTAAAACTTTTCATTTATCCCTATTGAATTTCACCTTATCAAATTCATCCCAGTACTCTCACCTGTCAAGATATTTTTGGATCCTGACTGTGTCAGTTATTCCTCCCAAATCTGTGTCATCTGCAAATTGATGAGCATACTACCTATGCCTTTACCAAGTCATCCATAACAATGTTATACAGCTCACAGCCAAGCAAAGGTCTTCCCTGGAGACCTCCCTTCCATGTTGACAATGGAATATTAACAACTACTGTTTGAGACTGGTCATCTAGCCAGTTTTGGATCCATCTGATTGAATTATCATCTAATCCGTATCTCTTCATTTCCATAAGAACAACATGAGATGTCTTATCAAAAGCTTTGCTAAATTCAAGATTAACAATATCCACAGCACTCTTTTCATCTATTAGTTTAGTAATCCTGTCAAAAACAGAAGTAAAGTTAATCTCAATGATGAAGCTGGCTCTTTGTAATCACCTTTTTCCTTTCCAAGCTACTTGCTGATCACCTCTGTTCACCAACCATCTTAATAATCCATTCCAGAATTTCCCCAAGAATTGAAGTCAAGCTTGATGTCCTGTGGTTTTCAGACTCTGTTCCCTTCCCCTTCATCTTTTTTTTTAATTGGAATATTTAACCTTCTTCAGTTTGGTAGTAGTTCTCCCCTTTCCCATGATCACTTAAATATTAATGATAATGGCACATAAATCACATGTTCTATTTTCCTTTTCTTGTCAGGTGGTCTCCAGTGACGAAATCACTTCTTTTTCTCTAACCTTTGACCTTCAACCAAATACTCTCTATCTTGACTCCTCCCTCTGCTTCCTGAATTTCCTTACATGGATACGCTTTCTTAACATGCAAGGATACCAAAGTCCACCCCTCTCCTCTTACTTAATCTGTTTCTTTTGAATAAGGTATACCTATGCAGAGTCATGGTCTAATCATGGGCTTCATCCCACCAAATCTTAGTTATAAAGTCTAATTTGTTTTCTTGTATTAGGACCTCTAGTTCTCTTGGCTATTGTCTAAACTCTGGCCATTTATATACCTACATTTGAAGCCATGATTTTACTTCTGGCTCTTTTCTTGTATTTTGTCTCCTATGAATTTTCTGAATATCCCCTCAGCTATTCTTTTTCCTTCTTTGTGGCTACTCACTGTGGAATTTAACTTGGGACATATACACGGGCTTCCTTCCCCACACTTAAATTCCTTTTGGTTAGATTGGCATGATACCTGGCAAATGCATTCTTTCCAACTTTTGTTAGGTGTACTTAGTCTCTGGATAGGAATCTGCCAACCCTGCATCATGATCTGAAAATCCAAAGTCCATTCTCAGACACTACTTTCTTATTTGGCTGTTCACTTACCAAACTGATGCATTTTTTTTCCTACTGTGTATCTCTTTCCTTCAACGGGCAATAAGTATGATAACAACCTGTACCCTTATGGCCTTTAGTTTTTGCTCAATTTTTATAGCTATTGACAATATTTTTAACCTCCTTCTTAAAGTGTGATTTGCTCACATAAGAATCACCAGAACTGATTCTCTATTTTATACTGGATACAATCCCCCCAGGAAGAGAATAATCCTCTCTGTTATTGTTATCAATTTAATACATAGCTGCCTCAGTACCCAGCAAGGCATAGAAGCTACTGCTACTCTCTTCTAACCCTTATTGGATGACTTTTCAATGGCAATATTATGTTATTCTTTGGAGGATAAGCAGCTTCTTATTTCTCAGAGCAACTAGCTCTCTCTTCCTCAGGAAGAGGCTCAGATCTACTGTTGAGATCTAAATGTCCAGGTGTCCTTTCCTTTCACTTTCTCCCATGTGTTAGACTCTTCCACTCTCTTTCATGACCTGATCATAGGAGAGAAATTATATTCCATCATCTCTGATCCCCTCCGCCTGAGCTGCCTAATGTGCTGAAAGGATACCACCCTGAGGCCAAATCCCTAGTGATGTTTTAAAAACCTCTTGAACTCATTTAGCAATAATGAACAAAGTTCCTTAAGGCCATATCTTCCTCACACCAGTGACCCTGAACTGCTGGCTGTCTTTATATGCATCCTGTTCTCCACCCTCCACTGTTCACTCTCTTAGTCTCATCTCCCTCAACACAACTTCCCCCAATGTTATACTGTAAAACTGCCCACCCCTTCCACTGTACTCTGAAATATGTGCTAACATAAACATTTACATGACAAATTTGCTTTAGGCTTAAATCATTTCCTTTCTCACTCTTTTCATCTTGTGGCTGTCACTGAGAACCAGCTCCTCCCTGATGAGACAGCCTCCCTGGGTAACCCTTTCTGGCACTGATTGTACTTTGCCTCATTTCCCCAATTCACTGGTTGAGGTAGGGGAAAGTTAGAATACTGCCCATTGTTATGTCCAACCTTTACCTCTACCTCCATCACTCAGTAACCTCTCTTCCCTTGAGGTTCAGTTAATCTATATCTACCATCCAATCAACATTCTGGTAGTTATTGTCTCCCAACTTCCAAGACGCTCCCCTTTTTTCCTTGGTGAATTCAGTGCCTAGCTCAAACTTTCTCTCCTCCTCAATTCCTACCCTCATGTTAGCTGACTTCAATAAAAATATTTCTTTTCACTCTGTTTTTACTGTCTCCAAAAGGTAGATCAACCTGTACTTTGAACACAGATGACAGTCACTTATTTGGCTATAGAACAGATACAAACATCTCATATGTGTTGCAAGTCATTGCAATAATTAGGTGATGAAGTAGATGTAGTGCTGGGCCTAGAGTTAGGAAGACTGAGTTCTAATCCAGCCTCAGATACTTATTAGCTGTGTGATCCTGGGCAAGTCACTTCACCTTGTCTGCCTTAGTTTCCTCATCTGTAAAACTAGCCGAAGAAAGAAATGGCAAACCACTCCAGTATTCTTGTCCAGAAAACCTCAAACAGGGTCATGAAGTTGGATGTGACTGAACAACAACAACTCCATGATGGTTGAGATTTTCAAGTCTCATTTCTTTGAAATATTTTTGAGGGTTTACTCAGCCTTAGGCTTACAACCCTAATCACCTGGTTAAAACTTTCATCACCTCTTAATAATTTGAGAATCCCAGTCAAATCCCTTTTCTTAAACTCAACAACATTGTCATTGTAACAGCAGCCACCAGCCTGTTTTATACCAATCTCCTATTTCCCCAATTTATCCCACCCACAAAATCACTCTTAATTTGCTTAACCTTAATTGGTCACTTGTGTTTTCTTCCTTCTCTTGGTCTCCTCAATTATATTTTACTTATCCTGCTTGAGTTTACCTCTTCAGGTTCTTCTCTCTAATCCTCCCATTGAGCCCCCTATATCCTTCTTAATCATTTTCTATGCTTGATCCTGCTTATGGAGTAGAAGCTAAATTAGTATCTGGGCCTGGAGATTACTCTTCATGCTTCATACTTTCCTCAATTTTTCCAAAAATTTACTGAATTCCTTCTCACCAAATTCAGCCTCTGACCTACTCCACTAGTACAAACACCTCTCAGTCATGATTTTCCTCTCTTTATTTGGATGCTGTGGGTCACATTGCCTTGGGAAATAAAAATAGTTTCTCATTTGCCTGGAAAGAAGAGGGGTTTTTACTCATCTTTTTTAAACCAAATATATCTTGTTGGGTACCTTTCATTCATTAATAAGCATTTACTAGGCACCTACTATGTATCAGGCATTAGGCTAAGCTTTGAATATCATTTCTTTTAACATATTGCCATATTTTTTGTTAATGCTAAAATGAGGCTGCAATTATGTTAGTTCGAATGTAAAAGATTTCTATTTCTGGGTTGGAGACTTTAAAGTTATAAAAGTTCTTAAGATAATATCTGTTTATAAAACACGCTTCAAACCTTATATATAGACCAATAATTAATATAGATATAACTAATATAAATAAACCTTCTTTATTTTACAGATCAGAAAACAGAGACCCCAAGAAAAAAGTCTCAGTTCTTACAACTGGAAAATGAAAGAGCTGGCCCAGATCTAACTGAGAGTCTCTTCCACCTCAAAGGTACTATGATTCTAAGTGACTTGTCTAAGGAGACTGTGTCTTTTAAAGGCAGATTTGGAGCTAGATTCCAATGATTATATAGTGTAATGGAAAGAAAGTTGGATTTAGAATCAAAAGATCTGTATTTGATTCCCAGCTCTGCCAACATGGTAGTCTTTCAAATATTTGAAGTCAGTTATTATGTCCTTACCTGAGCATGCTTTAAGTGAAACATCTCTAATTCTATCAACAAAACTTTATAAGGCATGAATTTAAAGTCTTTTGCCATCCTATTGCTCTCCTGTAGACACCCTTCAGCTTAGCAATATTTTTTTCCCAAAATTTAAACTCTAGAACTAAGCCCATTACTCAAGAGTGTGCTGGAGTCAACTTGAACCAACTTGTGAGAGCTGATTGTTAAATTTTCAGTGTGAGTATTTATACCTCAGAAGTTGGCACTACAACTTAGGGCTTGATTTATTGTTTTGTTCATGTATAGGCTTTTAAAAGTGTTAATAATACAGATTAAACTTTATGTATATATACTTTTCCCCCCTCAAGAGCCCTGTTGTTAAATATTTACCAATATATCCTTTCAAGTATTCCACATGAGTTCAAATATAAGGAGACTATCACTTCCTTATTTTAAGAAGTAGTGCTTCTGTTAATACAGTCTAAGGTCCCATAGCTTTTCTGACTTTCATAACTGCTATGGCTCATAATGAGCTTACAATATATCCAAATCACCAAAGCTTATTCAGATGAGTGACTATCTAATTATGCCTTCCCCATCACCTACATGAGGTCAATAAATGAATTTCACAAGCATTAAGACTGCATTTAGCCCTACTGAACTTCATCTTATTTTATTTATGGATTGTGAAAATGGATCACTTGTGGGAGAAGATGGACTGAAGAGTATAACCACCTAGCTCTATATGGGGCTAAGGTGGAGTAGAAGTCATGGGAATTAAAAGGTTGACAAACTGAGAACTAAAGGTGATCAGGACAACTTTTCTTTAAATTGACATCCCAGAGTTTAAAGGACAATTCTTTTTGTGTTCCTTCTAGCAGTACCCTTTGCACCCAGTGAATCACCAGAAGTAGGTAGCATAGTTTGGACAAGTCTTAGGAGGTTCTCTGCTATGTCTTGGTATTTTTGCTGCTTTTGTTTGCCCTTCACTTTTTGAAAAGAATTAATGACCTCATGAGAATGATGTCTTGACTTGCATGTGAACTAATTTAAGTGAGGCAGAATTGCACAGTCATCAGCCGCATCCCTTCCAGTGTCACTGAAGTCTAGCGGCCAGACTAAAGTCTGATGGCCCAGTATGCAGTGGATGACCTTGGTGTCTTCTCTGTCTGACCAAGCTCTAAGCACTCCACAGTGCCTATTTCAGCCACCACTGGAACAGATTATTCTCACCTGCCCATTCTGCTGGGGGAAGTCTTCACATACTTGAGGTAGACATCTCTCTGACATATGGGTTTGAGGCCTATTGGTTACCCTCAACCTGGTTTAGCCTGTCAGCTGAGATGGTTTTATTGGAGTATGGCCACTGCAAATACTATGGCTTCTTGGGAACAAAGGTGAGAATTGGGTGAAGGTGGACACCAAAGGTGGATGAGCAACCCTGAAAAGGGCTCAGCAAGCCCTGTCACCAGAGATGCTAATCCTCCTTGAACACCCTATAAACCCTATGATTTGGGTACATGCCCCAGGGAAACAACACACTTCTGTTGTGATCAGGTTGACAAATAGCTGCAACTAGGGTTTAACTAGTAAATTTTTAACAGTTAGCCCTCTGGGGGTAAAATGTATGCACCACAAACTTCTAAATTTAATCTGCATTATTTGCATTTCCCCCTCACTTTCTTCAGTCTAAACAATCAACAAAACAATAAATCCAGCCTTGACTTGTAGCATTTGCTCTTTTTTCTGATTTACATTTGAAAAATTAACAATTGACTTTCCAGAAGAGCTTCAAGGTAGCCCTGGCACATTCCTGGCTGCAAAGGTAACCCTCCTCCAAAGGGTTTGTCAGTCATCCTCATCCTCTTGGCTTACAAGGTACCTCATTTGACAGCATCTTCAGATCTATACCATCCTTCCTTGGAGGACAAACAGCTGCTTCCTACTTACAGCATTCAATTGCCTCTTTTTTTTTTTAATCAAGAACCTCAGATTTGTTTCTTAGCTCCAAGTGTTCAGCATCCTTCCTCCTTATGCTGGTCTTCCTTGCGTCCTTCAACTCACCAGCATAGGTCATGATGCCCTGATTCTGCGACTCCTCTGTCTTCTTTATTTCTCCTCTGAAGAATTTTCAGTTTTTGAAGGAACACTTCCTTGTTCCTAAAAAGCTGGACTGAAGAGAGCTTCTCCTTGAGCCCATTCACTTTTTATTTAAGAGGTAGACCAGGGGGCAGATTGTGAATTAGTAATAGGTACTCGGCCTTGGCAGAAATACAAACATTGCATGAGCAATGCAAGTTACTAAAAAATTTCCCCTTCTCTCTATTCCTCCTGTTGTTCATATACTCTTTTGTCACCTTCTGACCCCTTTGCAAATGAATTGCCTTCTAATATTCCCATTGATTAATTCAGTGTCTGACATATAGCATGTGTTTTTATACATTCTTATTGACCAACTGTCTTCTAACCCCTTAAATTTTGTGACTTGGAGGAAGTTACTTCAGCTATCTGGCTCTTAGTTTCCTCTTCTGCAGAATAAAAGCATCTGATGCTGCATCTGGTTTCAACTCCATGCAAACAATAATCTAACCCCCCCAACTTCAAGCCTTGACTGACACCACCTCCCACACCCTTCTCTCCCCTCTGATTGGAACACTGGAGGGGGAGTACTCAGTTCCATTCAATGCCTACCTTTATAATGATAAGAAACCGGGCTTGCTCACTCCCCTCTACATTTCCTTCCCTACCTGGTTTCAACTCCACTGAAAAAGATTCTATACCTCCAACCCCTCTCCAACCTTACCAGGTACGCTTAGTGTCCTCTACCTCTTGCTTTCCTTCATCCTTTTGTGTGTTGTCTCCCTCTGTTAGATAGTGAGCTCTTTGACAGCAGGGACTATCTTTCTTTTTATTAGTTGCATCCCCAACACTTAGAACACTGCCAGGCACATGTTAGGTGCTTAATAAATATTTATTGGATTGGATTGGACTAACCAACCTCTAAAGTGTTTTCCAAGGCTAACCCATTTTATTGACCAATAAGTGAGGGTAAGAAGAAAAAATGATTTGTTTTATATGAAAAACAAATTATTTCTTTGTTGGGAACCAACCCAGACAGGTGAGAATGGAGAGTGATAAATGGCATGTGTATCCTCAATGAGATTTTTATTTTTAAGTAAGAGCTTTTAAACCTAAAAGGAAAACTGGCAAAAAAGCTTCTAATTAAACAAACTGCATCAAGGTCTTAAGAAAAATGTAATTTCTGCTCAGTGACTGACGAAATCTTCCTGTAGCATACTTAAACACTTCCCCAACTCTAGATTTCACTTTGGCAGAGCTGATCAGGCTTGTAAATCAAAAGCACTATTCATTGACTTGTCATTCAGAGCTGCTTCCTGCTGTCATCAAAAGTCATCTTTATGCTGGGGTAGATCTAGTCTGATGCTATATAGATCTGATATCCTATGCTGTAAAAAATTGGGGCGGGGGGAGCAGGGAGGAGCTTAATTCCTTGCCATCTGCATCTCTGTTGGTAAAATGAGCCTAAGCCTGGACAGGATGGTGTGCAGCAAGGATGAGAAGTTTGCTAATGACATGACACGTTTACATGCTTTTCAGTCTACATATTTTGTCACAATTTTGTTAATAGGTATGGCCATGTACTTATTATCTTTTTGAGAGAAGGATGGAGCACGCCTGTGATCTCATCAGGGTAGAGAACTCCTGGGGAGGAAACTTTTTCCACCAAAGCATGGGGGCAATCTATCTTTAAATTCTAGTCTTAAAGAGTTGCCTGGGTCAGAGAATTTAAGGGACTTGTCCAGGGTTATACAGACAAACTGTGTCAGGGGTAGGATTTGAGCCTGTGTCTTCTAGATTCTAGTGCTGGCTCTCTGTTGTGTGTGCTCTAGTCTCCAATGATGAGGAAACTGAAGGTCAGACAAGTGAAATAAATGACTTGTCCACAGTCATGTAAAAGTAAGTGGCTGAGGGGCATCTAGGTGGCGTAGTGGATAGAGTACCAGCCCTAGAGTCAAGAAGACCTGAGCTCAAATCCAGCCTCAGGCACTTACTAGTTGTGTGACCCTGGGCAAGTCACTTAGCCCTAGTTTTCTCCCCTCCCCCAAAAAAAGTAAGTGACTGAGCTGGGGAGTCAGATTTAGATCTTCTGACTCTGAGCTCCCTGACCTTCCCACTATGCCAGACTTTGCTGTCTCGTTAGTCCAGGTAGTCACATACTGTGTTGCCAAAGCATTCTACTTTCTGGTCCTTTGAACTGCACTCATTTTTAAGGGACTACAATAATGGGTTCTATTTATGGAGTGTGCTAGAGTTACAGGAAGGCTTGTGCAGTAGCATACTATTCTCATGTGGCTCACATAACAGTTCTAGGAGGTAGGCGACATTCCTGGACAGGAAGCGAGACATACTGGAAAGGCTTTCGGATGTGGCGGAGACTTAGATCTGAATCCTGTCTTTGGCATTCACTAGCTGGATAACCAGCCAAATCACGTCACCCCTCTGAACTTTGGTTTCCTCCTCTGCAAAACAGGGATTAGAAATAACGGCAGGACCTATTTCACAGGAATATTGTGAAGTGCAAATGTTATATAAACACAGAGCGATCTGTAGAACTCAAAAGCCTGTGAAAATATATGCATTATTATAACCCCATTTTACAGATGAACCTACCTGAGGCTCTCTGAGGAGAAATTGTTGCACTTAACCAATTGCAACAATTTTTATTTGTCAAATTTATCAAGTACCTACTGTGTGTAAGGCACATAGCATAGAGGTAGCTTGGTGTGTTGGATAGAAGACTGGCTTTGGATCCAAGAAGATCTGGGTACCAGACCTGTCTTTTGACACTCAATGGCTGTGGAACTACAGGCAAGTCATTTAACCTGTCAGGGCTCTGGTTCGAGTGTCTGACTGTAACACTATAAGCTGCAAATATAGCAAGACCTTTTACAAACATTATTTACTTCAAAAGGTATCATCACAAATATAGAAACTTACTTCCCCAACAAATGGGAGGTATAGTCTTCCTTCTGCCTCTATGTCACCTGAGTCCCTAGGGAGAAGAAGGAGATTAGATTCATAGTTTAGCTCAGGTTCCATAAAGCATAGTACCAGTTCCAAGTCCCACCCCCTACCCCAGGGCTAAAGCCCTAGGCACCTTGGTTTCTTCTATGCAGACCTAGCTGGCTACACCGTCCAATCCTGTTTCCAAAGTTACCAACACTTGAATTCCCTGATTTCCAGCAGATCACCTTGGCACTAGAAACTGAGGGCAAACCACACAACACAGAAACAAACATTCCCAAGCTCATTTCTCTGAGCCACAAGTCCCTTCCCTCTTATTTTTCAGCTCTTCAGTTCTATGATAAGAGCAATTGTTTCTATGACCAGTTTTAAAGACACAGACAGCCAATCCAGGAGACAACCCTACCCACATTCTATGGGGCACCATGTTAGCCATACTGGGCATGCTCAAAAGGTTAGCCTGGGTTACACAGAGAAGGTGCTTACTTGAATAGGTAAAGGGACCTTCCTTATCTAGACCAATGAAATCACAGGTCAAATGTCTATTCCTCCTCAATACAGTATGCCAGACACTACAGAAACAAAGGCAAAAGTGAAAGTCTCTGCCCTGTAGGTGCTGACATTTTATAAGGGGAGACAACACATGTTCACATATGCATAATACATAAAAAATAAATTCAAGCTTATTTGGGGGCAAAGTCGGAGGAGAGGCACTACCTCCTGGGAATGATCGCACATAGAAGATGCTACTTGAGATGAACTCAGAAAACTCAGGATTTGAGAAGAAGGTGGGGACAAAGTGCATTCTAAGCATGTGGGACAGCCCTGGAAGGATAAGAAAACAGGAAAAGGAATGGCAACAAGAAGGCCAGTTTGGTAAGCAATGTGTGAAAAGAAATTATATAATCATATACATATATATATATATATATACATACACATATACACACATACCTATATGCACACATATGTACTTATGCATATATGTATGTACATGTGTGTCTGTATTTACACACACATGTGTGTGCATGTATATGTATATGTGTGTATATATACATATGTATGTATATGTATATGTGTGTATATATACATACATACATATATACATATATATACATATATATGTGTATATATATGTATATATATACATATATATGTATACATATACATATATATATATATGTATATATATACATATATATATATGTATATATATATGTATATATATATATGTATATATATACATATATATATATGTATATATATATATACAGTTGTCTGTTCCACATCATGACTTTGCCCATCATGGGTTTCAATATATGGCAGGTCAGTGTAAGAAATTAAATAGAAATTTTGGGAGAGTTTTGTGGAAGCTGTAGACAACACACAGAGGCCAGCAGACAATTTAGAAAAAATTTAGATACTTAGAAATACATGATATATGTATAGCATTGTACAATATCAACATATTTTATCATTTAATACCATAATAATTAAGACTTCTTCTCTGGTACATAGGGAGGGACAAAAAATTTTATGCAGATTTTCTAGATCTAGGGAGCACCCCTGGATCCCCTAAACCCATGACGTGGAAGGGGTAACTGTAGTTGTCATTGTTCAGTCACTTCCGTCATGTCTGACTCTTCATGAACCCATTGGGGGCTTTCTTGGCAAAGGTACTGAAGTGGCTTGCCATTTCCTCCTCCAGTTCATTTTACAGATGAGGAAATTGAGGTGAACAATTAAGTGCCCAGGGTCACACAGCTACTAAGTGTCTGAGGATAACCTCACTTCCAGACCTGTCCTCTTTCTACTACCATACAGCTTGTTGTCAAATATGTGACATGAAGATGAAGAACTAGGAAGTCTGAGTATATTGTATTCTAAAGAATTCATTCTCTACAAAAAAAAAACAAGATTCCTAATGATCCCTGGCCCAGTATGTTAAATTCTGGGATCTCCCCCCCAAAAAAAATTACAATAGAACCATTCATTGTGTTCACTAAGCTTTCACATTTATAGTTATGACTGGTTTCTGCATCGAATTTTCTGGAGAATAGTAAATGAATTTGACTGTGGCAGGTAAATACCTCAGAGCACCTGGAAAGGGTGTAAGTCTAACTGATATTATTCATTGGTTTCACCTGCACCAGCCTCTCAGAAATAAGGCTTTTTTTTTAAAATCAGTCAGGAGACAAGTTTCAAAATTTTGTTCTGAAAGCATTACCTTGACACTCTTGGAAAACAGTTATTTGTGGAAAAAAAGAAGGAAAGAAGCATTTTTAAATGCCTGCTATGTGCCAGGAAGTATGCTCAGTGTTTTATAAATATTTCATTTGATCCTCACAACAACCTTGGGAGGTAGGTGCTATTTTTCTCTCCATTTCACAGTTGAGGGAAACTGAGGCAGACAGAGATTAAGTGATTTGCTCATGTGTCTAAGGTCAGCCTTTCCTGACTCCAGGCCCAGGAATTTATCCATTGTGCCATCCAGCTGCTTCTGAAAATTATTAGAAACTCAAAAATGATCTTATCTCTAGGAATTAATGGATAGGACTGTGCACTAACTAAACTGCAGGAGATAGAATTTGCACCCTGAGGAGTAACAACATCTTGCTAAATGATGATGGAACAAGGGGAGGCTAAAGATCACTAGTCCTTGCTAATCAAGAGGCAGTCTCATACCCAGTGGAAACACTGCTGGACTGGAAGTTGGAATATTTGGCTCTGATTCCCGTAACTTGTGTCTCTATGTGTAAGTTTCCATTACCTCAATTCCTCCTCTATAAAATAGGAATGATAATACTTTAGTTTTCTACATTGTAGGATTCTTGAGAACAAAACACTGTATAAACCTTAAAAGTACCAAAGAATGGGAATTGCTATTGCTCAATGATCTTTATCAAGATTTCTGGGGCCAAACAACTGCTAATTCATATATCAATAACTGGTGCTTTACAAGTTTTCAGAGTTCTTTTACAGGCAGCCGAATTAGGGAGCAGAGCTATTGATATATACATTTTAAAAGTGAAGAAACTTGAAGTCAAAGATGGGTCAAATGGCTGGTCCAAAGTCACACAGCTAAAAAGTAAAGGCACCAGAAATAAAACCTAGATCTCTGGACTCTAGATCCCAGTGTTCTTTCCACTTACAGGACTCTCAGAGACCACTGAGTGCAGCCTTTGCCAGAACCAGAATCCCTGCCAAGAATTCTTGCCAACATAATCATCCAGCCTTCACGTGGACTTCAGGTGAGGGCAAGCCCACTACTCTCTAGACAGCCCATTCTGGCCTTTATTAGGGTTTTTTTGGCTACTATTCCTCATTACTGATTCATATTGAACTTCCATTAAAAAACTCTAGATTTTTTCAGACAAACTCCTGTCTAGCTGTACCTCCTCTCTCTTATGTCTGTTATATTTATATGTTTATATATTTATTATTTATATATTTATATTTGAAATTTTGACATAAATAAAATGTTTATATATTTATTAACATATATGTTACATTTTTTTGAACCAAGGTATAAAACTTTCCATTTTCCCCTCTTAAGCTTTCATTTTATTAGGTTCTACCCAAAGTTCTAGCCCATCAGGATCTTTTTGAATCCTGGCTCTGACCCTAACATCTTTGCTATCTCTCCCAGTTTTGTGTCATTCGTTAAGTTGAAAATGTCATCTATTTCTTAATCTAAGTCATTGACAAAAATGGTAAACAGCATTGAGCTACAGACCTAATTTCAAAATGTCCACACACCATTCATTGGGTCCAGTCCTTCATGAATCTACCTAGTTACTGTTTCACAAAGTAGCATGAGAGACTCTGGCTATAACCCTAGCATTCTCTTCATCCTCCAGTTTATTAATCTGGGCAAAAAGGGTCAGGGAGGGGCAGGGGGGTTGGAAATGATGTGTTCCTGATGAAATTCTTTGTGATTACTGCTTCTGTTTCTAGTCTATACTAATCAACCCTTTAATAACATGCTTTAGAATTTTTACCTGAACTCAAAGTTAAGTTCATTGGCCTGTATTTTCAAATTTAAATACTTTATCAATTTTGTTTCTACCTGAATTGTTCTTCAAACAAAAGTTCTCCACCATTCATTCTGTCCTATATTTCCTCACTTGAGTATATCTTTTTAATATATAATACTTCTGTGCTTCCTCTGTTATTATTGAATATAGTACGCTCTTCTAGAGCCATATTCTAGTCACAGGTCCCATCCTTCCAAGTCTCAGTGATCAACTTATGATGATGTCAACTTGCTCCTTGGGTTAGGATCACTTATGATTTTATTTTTTGAGTCTGAGACTTGTGCAGACTGGAAGTTCAATGGTAACTCATAGACCCAATCCCATTACTGCTCAGCATTGGAGCTTTGACCTGCTCTTTTTCTTAACTGGGCCAGTTGTCCCTCCTTAGGCACTCCCCATCCCTTTCTGGTGACTCAACATATCAGTATCTGACTTAGTGCCAATGCTCAGTCAGTTTTAGTTCTATTTCCACTCCGAACTTATAAGTTCAAGAGATCCCTCAGCTACAGCATTCTGGTAACAGGGATTAGAAGCTCATATCACCATACCTGGATGGGATCACTTTTTCTATTTCATAGAATCAGAGTCACAGAATTTCAAAGTCAAAAGGTATGTAAGATCCTATCTAGCCCAACCCATCCATGAACAAAGATCTCTACAACATATCTAAAAAGTGATCATCAAGCCTTTACCTGAAGACCTTTGGTAAAGGTAAACCCTCTACTATTCAAGGCAGTCCCTTCCACTTTTGGATAGCTCTAATTCTCCAAAGGTGCTTCCTTAGATCAAACCTAAATTTATCTCCACGACTTCTACCCATTGGTCATAGTGATGAGCTCTATAACTAAGAGGAACAAGCCTAATCCATCTTCCACAAGCCAACCATCAGCCCTGCTTCCCCTTAAGTGTTCCCTTCTCTGGGTTAACCATCCCCAGTTTCTGCAACCAGTCCTCTAGGGCATGATCCCAAGGCACTTTGTCATATTGGCTATCGTCCTCTGAACTGTCCTTCAGTTAGTTTCAAAGAATAATAGCTAATAGTAGCTAGCATTTATATAGCATTTTGTCATGCAAAGCCCTTTATAGGTTATCTCATTTGTTCCTAATCTATGTTACTACCCTATCTTCTAGTTCTCATATCTTCATCTTGTCTACAAGAATAGTATGAGACATTGTCAAATGCTTTGATAAAATTTAGATAGATATTTATAGCATTCTTTTCATTTACCAATTTAGTAACACTGTCCAAAAAAAAACAAAACAAAACAAAACCTCAAGAACAAAAAACAAAAAGAAAATGGGATTGTTTTGTCGTGATCCCTGGCTTAAAGGGGAAAGGGAACAAATATTTATTAAGTAACTTACTATGTGTCAGACATTGCACTATGTGCTTTACAAATATTACTTCATTTAATTCTCACAACAACCCAGGGAGGTGAGTAGAATTATTATTCCCATTTTACAGTCAGACATCAATTATATTACTTGCCCAGGATCAAACAGCTAGTAAGTGTCTGAAGCTGGATTTGAAGTCCAGTCTTCCTGATTCCAGACCTGGTGCTCTAATCACTGTATCACCTAGCTGCCTCTAAACCTAGATGCTTAATTTAAGCATCTAGTATTCTCTCAGATGAGAAGGAAATGGCAAACCACTCCTGTATCTTTGCTAAGAAAACCCCATGGACAGAGTAGTTCACAGATTATGAAGAGATGGACATAACTGAAAGACTGAACAAACAATTCTCTGACAGACAATATGGTCATACTTTACCTGCCTTGTTACCTATACTGTGCATGTTTTCATATAGACATTTGAATCCATGGGTCTTACTGTAGACTCCTTTCTTGGATTTTATTACCTATTCATTTCTGAGTGTTTCTTCTGCATGGTATCTGTCTTGATAGATATACATACATGCATACATACACACATACACATACATGCATGCATACATACATGCATACATATGCAATTGCCTAGTACTCCACTGAGCAGTAAGTGTCTCTAGTTCCAGCCCAAGTTTTGGAGAACTCATGGCTATCACTGCAGCTAGGTGTATTCCAACTTCGACCAAGAACCCAGCAATCTTATATGTTAAGCCATGGTTCAAAAATCCAAATCCTGTTTTCAGGCTCCATCTTCTTAACCAGCTGTTCACTTCCAACATCCTGGCCTTTTCTGAAAGCCTGGCCTTCACCTAGCTGCAGTGTAGCCATGAGTTCTCCAAAACTTGGGCTGGAACTAGAGACACTTACTGCTCAGTGGAGCCTCATCCATACATATATTGGCTTTTTTGGAATTCTTACTTCCTTTTTTGAGTCTTTCTGCATGGTAAGAAATTTTGTGCTTTTTGTTTCTGGCCTGAGTATCAGTGAAATCCTGTTTGTATAACTAGTATAGATCACTCTAATCTGAATGTAATAAAATCCCCTACTGGTTAAAGCACCTCATATGGATTTCAGAATCCAATCTAAACCCCCCAACCCCACCCCCACCAGCCAGATCCCAACAAAGCCATAGTACTGAAGGTAGATGGAAAGGGTAGCATTGAACAATGTAGTCACAGGAATTTTTGTATGAGTCAGTTTCCTTGTTCTGGCTAACATTTGAATAGTGGCTGACCACAGTTAATAGCCAACATACACTTGGGACAAGTAGGCTTTTATTACTCACATTTTTCATTTCTGGCTTCAACACTGAATTTTCTGGAGCAAAATGCTAGTACTACCAACATTTCAACAGAGGAAAAAGACACATGGTCAATTTTCAGGGGGTTAAACACAAAATGACTTTGTATGCAAAAGGAAGCTGGTCAGATTTAAGATGTATACATACCCCCATATGCATACATATAAGTGCATGTACATACTTATACACATGCATATATAAACACATGTAGACACATAAATACATACATATACACGCATATATATAGCATACAAATATATATGCATACACAAACATGCATATGTACAAACATACATACACATACAAAAATCCATACACATATAAACAAATTCATATACAAAAATGTGGATATGCAAATACAGATTCATGTGCATAAACACATAAATATATGATGCATATACAAACACTTGTGTACATATATACAAATATAAATGCATATATAAACATATGCATGCGTATATACAAATACAGAATATACATGCACACACACATGAGCATGTACATGCACATACATGACAGCTAGGTAGTACAATGGATAGAGTGCTAGGCCTGGAGTCAGGAAGACCTGATTTCAAATTCAGCCCTAGTCACTTACTAGCTGTGTGACCCTAAGAAGTCACTTACCCCCTCTTTGCCTTAGTTTCCTCAACTGTAAAATGGGGATAATAATAATAATGATAATACCTACTTTCCAGGGCTGTTGTAAGGATCAAATGAGATAATAATTGTAAAGTACTTAGCAGAGTAACTGGCACATACTAAGTGCTATATAAATGTTAGCTATCATCATATTATTATCATATATTATATATATATATATATATATATATATATATATATATATATATATAACCAATATTCTAAAAGAGGAGGTAAATAATGAAATAATGAGATCCAAAACTGTGCTCTTAACCCTCACTACATTATGCTGGGCTCTGAAACAATTGTAAAGCTTCCCAGAAAAAAAGTATCCCTTCAAATAATCACTGAAGACAAATACAATTTGTTTACTAGGCTACACCTAGGGCACATGGTGGGTAGTGGATAAAATCCTAGATAGACTTGAAGCCAAGAAGACATAGCTTCAAATCACATCTTAAATACTTATTAGCTGTGTGCCCCTGAGCAAATTACTTCACCTTTCTGGGCCTCAGTTTCCTTATCTTGGAAGTGAGGGGGTTGGACTTCATGGTGTTTAAGATCCCTTCCAGTTCTAAATCCATAATCTTGTAATTTATTATCCAATAAAAGATACCACCTCAAAAGAAAGCAGAAACTGTACCTCCTCAATCTTTATAGCATTGGAGCTCTGGAATTGGAAGGACCTCAGGGACCATCAGGTTCAATCCCCACACTTAATAGGTACTAAAATCTAGGAGAGTTAAATTATTTCTCCAAGGTCACACAGGGAGAAGTGCTGAATTTGAACCCAGGTACTTTGACTCTAGGGCTCAGAGTCTTTTCACTATAAATGGTTAATAAATTTTTATTGATTGATTGATTGATTCACTATACCACCCCGCCA